TCCAAGTAAATTACGTTTGTGAACATCACTTGAATTAACATGCCAAATGAAGTGATCCGGCCTCGGGAAATTGAAGGCACTGGTGATCTTGGAAATTGAGATTACTAAGGTGGCATTTCACGTGGAGTTTGAGACCACTAAAGTCCTTGGACTTTATTTAAGATCACTAAGTCACCAAAGCTTCAAGGATAGCCTATTTATGGACTTATTTGAGTACTAATATTCCAATGGTGTTCAAATTGAAGCAAATATATATATATGTCAAAACTTGTCCGTTCAAAATTTGCTCCGATATCCAGCAGTCACGCACAAGTTTCGAGGGGGCATTTGTAGACAATGGAATTTTAATTAAATTCTAAAAATTACCATTGGTCTGTTAAAAATTTTTTGTCCAATCGGATATTGCCATTTGTCATGTACACTTGAAAATTTGGTTATTAAGCAGCCAATTATATTTTGCCACGTGTCAGGGTGAGGTGTTCCAAATCAATTCAATTTGCAGGGGTATCTCCACCAACCAAATCATATCATATCATGTATTTATTGGATAAATATCTAAATATTTATTTCTTATTGAAAGGATAATATTTAGAATTGTTTAACCCAAGTATATCTCTTATATACTGCAATGGCCTGGCCAGTAAAATGGCGCCACGTCACGTGTCCCCACAAGTCTGGCCAATCGAGAAATTCCTTATCTCTTTATTAATGAAGAGATAATATTTAGCTGGCACAGTCCTAATATGACTGTACGTCTTGCTAGGCAAGTAGAGTGGTGTACATGATCTCAACCTCCACCTCTTGCTACAACTATAAATAGAGGTCTCTCAACCAAGTTAAGGGGGACATAGAGATATCAAGAAGCATCTCATACACTCAAGTATTAAAGCTTCAAGCTACGAAGGTCTGGGTCTCAAAGCTCCTCAAGTCTTCCGCATATCAAGGCTTGAGCCTTCAAGTATTTTCAAATCCTTCAAATCTTCCATATCAAGATTTGAAGGAGTCGGTGGTTGATCCAAGAACAAGCTGCGAATCCCTTGGATTGGTGTTCGAGGAGAAGAATCGAAGGAAACTCTCCATAAGTTCGAGAAACTTCCAGAGATTGTACCTACATATTTTTTTTCTAAGTTTATATAGTACATATTTGTCGTGTATTTCTTTTTCTTGTCGTTTTGCAGACTTGAAATTTTTATCGCGTACAGAAGAGACGAGTAATTTTGAGGAATATGTTCCTGTTATACAGTATCTGAACAAATGGCATCAGTTAGGAGAAGAGGAAACTTCAAGGGAAGATCAATCCTTCATTACAAGCCAATTTCTAGAGTTCCAGCCTTAAGGACAAGGCTATCCTCAATCAGAGGAGGTATTGTCAGGATTAGGGGTATCAATGAAAAAGGCAAAAGTATTAAGGGTCGCAATAGTAAATATTAGAAGTAGTTAAAGGTAAAGGTAGTTAAAGGTCGTTAGAAAAAAATGCAGAATTTGGTACTGGAGTTAGAAACTAGCAAAGTCTCAACAATTGTGTATAAATTCTAAAATGTACTGGGATTGAAACAAGAAATGATAATTGAATTTTTCCCTCCTCTCTCGTTCTCTCTCTGGAATCTTCCTTTTTTTTCCTTTCTCATTTACTTTCTAATTTTATTCTCTCTCTTTCTTCTTTTCTTCTTTCTGTTCATCTAATTCTACTAATCCTTGAAGATCCTGACAAATTGCACGTAGGAGGGGTGCCTTCCTATGGTCTCCCCCCCCCCCCCAAGTGGAAGAGCCGACATTATAATTAGTGATAGTGGTAGCCTGTGTTCGCGTCACTCCTGCCCATCTCTAGTGAAGGTTTTTGAATATTTTTACCATGTAAGTGATTATGGTTCTTTACCTGCCCATCTCTAGTTCTTAATCTTTCTCTGTTTTGAAGTGATTATGGTTTCTTCTTAAATAAATTTTATATACATTGACAGTATATATTCTATCATTGATAGATTCATGACACATGTGCAAAATGGGTTTCAAATTTAAATTATATATAGTTGTCATTCATCCAAAATTGTACATTATCAGTGCAGGAAAGATTAATCCTTTCTTTAAACAAGGAGATTATGTATAACAATTTAGAAAGACTACATTTACACAGAAGATCAATTCATGGTCAATCTCCGCCTTTATTATGTTTAGGCAAGAAAAGTCTGCACCAATTCATATTTGTGTGCATCAAATTTGATAGAGAATGCGGTGACGTAGAGAGAGAGAGAGAGAGAGAGAGAGAGAGAGAGAGAGAGAGAGAGAGAGCTTTCTTTTTGTGATAAAATAGGAAAGTTAGAGACATATCTCACGTTTAAGAAAAAACAAACTAGGAAATTAAATTTAGTTCAGTTTTTGTCTTTATAAGAATTATCACTCTTTTTTTTTTTTTTAAGAATTATCACGTTGATGGAGTACGAATAGCAATACCAGCTTTTTATGTGATTAATGCACTTTCTTTCTTGACCCTATACATAAAAAGGATAGCCTACGTGTTATTTTGAGCTGGTAAGAATTTAACTCGAGGATGTATGATTTAATCTTGTTGCTAAATAGGTAACTACCAAAAGAAGTCAAGAAATTTTTAAAATGTGTTGTAAAACTAATGAAATAACAAGATGTGGGATAACACAAAATAGAGAGAAGCCAAATAAAGTAGGGAACTATTCTTCCTTCTATTAACTCAAACGATCAAGGCTTACAAAGAGATGTTCAATCACCTCTATTTATAGAGAACACTGAATAAGCCAAAAGATTAACCTCTAAATATAAGAGAGGTTACGAATTAATTGTATAGGAAAACCAAACCGTTATCTATACTAACTCTTTTATCCTTGGAGGAATCAATTTTATCCTTGGGAGAATTCAATAGACATAGGAAACTTTAATGGATATTCATTCCTATTTAATTGTTTCATAACTAAATGCCAATCTTTGCTAGTTGTTGAGTTCTTGGAACTTGGAAGCTAATATATTTTTTCCCCTGCGTTCATAAAAATTGATTTACTCAACAAAATATATAGTTCCTCTAGAAAAACTTAGATGGTGTCAATTTAATCATACTATGCGACCATACTTGAATACCTCCACACTCATTGTATAATTTCTTATCTAAGTGGCTCATTAATGGTAATTTTAGATGTAGATACCATACTCAGATGGGCAAGCGATACTATCAAAGCAATTAATTATCTTCTTGCCAGAGTATATTTTACTTAAATATCAAGATTACCCTCAATCAATCAACTTTAGATATGTTCATTAATTACTCCTCTTTTTTTCTCTCTAATTAAGTATTTTTTATTAAGATCTCTCACTCTTCTTCCTATTATTTTCATTTCTCTCTTTTTCACTCACACACTAATATATCTATTATTTTATAATTAAATACGTAGGTTTTGCTAAAATCTTTTCTTATATCTTTTTGGTTCTATGTGATCTTCCTTTTTTATTCAATTCTAAAACTTTTATTTATTAATTTTTTTTAGAAATGGAACTTCATTTAACTCCAACAAATAATTATTATTATTAAGATGTCATTGTAACTCAATACTTTAGCATAAAATTTTTTTTTGACATGCAACATGCATTTTTCTTTTGAATTTTGCTCGTTTATCGTGTCTCTGAGCAACTAATACCATTAAAACTTTGCCATCTTTTTCTCTTTTATACTTGTCATATAAATCTTGAATTTTTATCTTTTATCAGGTATAAGACTTGATTTCTCTCAAGTATTCATATTATCTAATAATTAGATGAAAATAAGTTGAAATTCTATTACGTTATATATCTTATGAATATTGAAGAGAAAAGCTATTTTTTGGGACTATTTTCATTTTAAACTATTATTTATTTTGACTTAAACTACATTGTGATTGAAAAAAGAACCATTTGAGTAAATTTTTAAATATATATATATATAAGGACGTATAGAATTAATATACAAGAAATTATTAAAACCAAGGCCAATTCAGTAAATCATGAAAATAATTCATGAATTAATGTGTGTGTGTGTGTGTGAGAGAGAGAGAGAGAGAGAGAGAGAGAGAGAGAGAGAGAGAGATGTAAGTAAGTGAGTGGAAAAAACTTTAATTGGAGAGAGAAGAAGAGGAGTAATTAGTGCTTAATGAATCTAAAAATATATGGACTTGATTGATTAAGGATAATATGGGCATTTGAAAAAAATTTACTATGACAGGAACATTATTGCCCTAAAAATAACGCCAGCCTACCTAGATGACAAGGAAACATGTTACGGTTTTAAATGTAGCAAGCGGAAACTTGGTTAAAACCCACCCTTGTGTACCCCCACATCTACCGACAAGGAGACAAAGAACGGTGCTGCAAGCCTATAAGAGCTGGGAACGACCACCTTGCAGAGGTAATTGACGGTCCAAATCAGGTCCAATAAATTGAATTTGATTTTGACCGTTGATTATAAACAAAAAAAAAGAGAGAATATATTGAACAGATTAGATTAATTGATGTGGTGGCTCATATCAACTAAGGGAACTCATATCTAAGCAGTGAACTAGTCTCACGGAAACAAGGCTAATGGCTCGAGAAAAAGTATTGAGATATTGATCAGTAGAAATATAAATATTTATCGATGGATAATATTTTGGGCAATCAATTTATTTAAAGCCTTTGGTTTCCGCTCAAATAGTTTTGGGTTAACTCACCAGTCACCAATGAGTTAGTGACTTCAATGGTTGATAAGCACTAATCCATCTGAACTGAAAGAGAGGTCTATTGCAATAGTTAGGATTCTTGTTCTGAATTCTATCTTATTTATTTAGCACCATCTTCTACCAAAGAAAAAGCAACATTTCCATCACGCCTAACAAAATATGTCACCTATCGAAAGATCAATATAACATTCTAGCTTGCAATGACTTAGCAAACAATCCGTGATTTAAAGTTCAGAAGGGAAAAGTACCAAGAAAAAAAATGATAGAACAGTGACCAGTAACACAACAGCCTAACACAAATTAACTAAGGAACCATGAATATACTTAGAAATAGATCTCACAATTATCAAGCTTCGCTCTGTGTCTAATACCAATAATAACTGGATTGGACACAACAGACCCCATTGCATCTACTATGGTCCGTCCCACTTCAGTCTCAAAAATCACGAAACAATGTCAGAAGAACAGGTTTCTTACTATAGCAACAAACATAAACAACAAGGTGTCAGCAATCTAAAAAAATGCAGGGGCCAACAAAGCAATACAGAAAGATCCAGGCACCGGGAATCACCTTTGATCAACGACATGATCTCTAGCAATAACAGAAACACCATCTAAAAGTGCCTTTCTCGCTGGTAAAGCATATAAAAAGGAAGCCAGTGACTCAATTATAGAGGCACGGCCATCAACCAAATGTTGGAAAAGAGGTAAAAGGGCAAATATCAAGATCAGGCAGAAGGCTCAGTTTGTCATCAAGATCAGGCAGAAGGCTCAGTTTGTCAAGCTCGCCAACTTCTTTGATTAGAGTATCATCATTTATAATTTAGTAGAAGTGATACGCAACCGGTGCAACAGTTTTGGGAATTTCTTCAACGGCAGCATTATTAATACAGCACATTTTAAAAGGAACAAGCAGTTTTTTGACGCGAGCAGCATTACGATCGAAAGCAACAGCAGAAACCTCTACTCCCTGAATCACACAAGAAACATAAGGAATAAACAAAACTGAAAATATAACACAGGTTACATGTTTTGATCTTTGTCTTTTGAAGAGCTAAATTGCATTAATGTTAAAAATGGTAAACCAGATGCTCAAATTCACTATACAACCTGTACAGTTGGCTCAAAAATAGGATAATTTTTTCATTCCAAACCCCCGAGACATTAACACTGAATATATTATTGAAATCATTACTGTATACTTCAAGTAAGCAAAAGGACCACATAGTAAACTATGACACCACAAAAGGGGCAAAAAGCTAAACCTACATGCAAATTGTCAAAGACAAAGTGACAATACACTTTCGTGGCACATTCAGCATCAGTAGTTTTAAGATGTGAGGCCTCAATGACTTGGATGATAGTCCGTCAAAGCAAAGAACTGTGGACCTCAAATATACTCAATCCCTTTACATCCATCTAACAACAAAAGGAAAGAGAAACACGTCAAGAAAGGAAAATGGGGAAAAAATGGTGAAACCATGTGGACTATACATGCATAGAGAATTCAAGAAAAAGAGAAAAAGAATAGCAAAAGTAAAGTAATAGCAAATATAGAGGCCAGAATAGAAAAAATGATACTCAATACAATGAAGAAACTGCATTCAACACAAGCAAACATGAACAAAGGTAACAATGTTAACCTTTCCCCCCAAAAAAAAAAGGAAAAAAAGACTTCACAGCACACACAAATGGAAAAAAAAAGGTAAACCAGATGCTCAAATTCACTATACAACATGTCCAGTTGGCTAAAAAATAGTATAATTTTTTCATTCCAAACCCCCGCGGCATTAACACTGAATATATTACTGAAATCGTTACTATATACTTCAAGTAAAAGGACAGCAGAGTAAACTACGATAGCACAAAAGGGGCAAAACGCTAAACCTACATGCGAATCATCAAAGACAAAGCGATGATACACTTTCGTGGCACATTCTGCATCAGTAGTTTTTAGATGTGAGGCTGGATGATAGTCCGTTGAAGCAAAGAACCGTGGACCTCAAATATACTCAATGCCTTTACATCCATCTAACAACAAAAGGAAAGAGAAAACAGGTCAAGAAATGAAAATGAGGATAAAAAGGTGAACCCATGTGGACTACACATGCATAGAGAAATCAAGAAAAAGAGGGAAAAAGCATAGCAAAAGTAAAGTAATAGCTAATAGAGAGGCCAGAACAGGAAAAAAAGGATACTCAATATATTGAAGAGACTGCATTGAATACAACCAAACATGAACAAAGGTAACAATGTCAACCTCTCCCCCCCCCCCCCAACAAAAAAACAAAAAAAAAAGGGGAAAAAAAACTTCACAGCATACACAGATGAATAAGTCCGGCGGAAGGAAGGAAAAAGGACAAGCAGGTGTACACAATGAATTGGATGGTAAGAGTAAACCAAAGCAGAGAACCATGGACCTCAATATGCACAATAACTTTACACACATCTGATATCAAAAGCAAATAAAAAACAGGGCAAGACAGAAAAATAAGGGAAAAAACCGAAAAGAAAACCATGAGGAATATACACACATCCAGAATCCAAGGAAAAGGGAAGAAAAGTTCAAAGGAAAAGGAAGGGAAATGATAGCAGAAGTAAAGAAGCAGCAAATACTAAAAAAAAAAAAAACTCACTAAAGAAAGGAAAATAGATAACACAATGGGAAAAAACATAGCCAAAACCAAAGCACACTAATTACAGAATAAAAGCAACCAAAGCAGAAGGATTAAAGTGTAAAATTAAGAGATAAATAGCATTAAAAAAAGAAAAAAAAAGAATAATTCACCAGGATTGATGGAGGAAGAATAAGCTCCCTGCAAAAAAATAGTAAATGAGAAGAATGGAAGAAAAGAAAGAAATATTTGGCTGGATACAAAGAAATCAAAGACAAAAAAACTAATCCATTCAGAGCATCTAAGATAAAATAGTTCAAATAAAGGTTAAAAATTAAACCATAAAAAGGAAAGTAAATGGGAAAGTTATGGAATTACTGCAGCAAGTTTTTCCGTCTTAACCAACTGTAGTGGTGGTGGACCAAAAAAGGAAGGAGGAAGAGGAAAAGGGTGAGGTGAAGGAGAAGGGGAAGAGAGGGGCAAGCGGCAGAAATTTGAGAGACCCTAGAGAGCAAGTCTATGTAGATGTCTATCAATCCCAGTCCATTGCATGAAGGGTTTTAGCGATCTTAAAAAAAAGGCTGGCAACCCAAGTGTGCGGCACGTAGGAGGACGAAAGAATTGTGCTGGATCCAATTGCCATTTTATCTACTTATGTTGAAAAGTCTCCTCTCTTCCTATGTTATTAAATTGTCCAACTTCCCTTGTTGATGTTTCCTTAAGGCTTAATGTAATTAAACCAAACTGTGTCAAGGATTATGTGGCTCAACTTATTTTTTGATTTTTATTATATTTAAAATAAAAACTGAAGCCAGTCACAATCATTTGTCAACCTCTTATGGCAGAACCAATAACCATAGGGGTATATGACTATGTCCCTCCTCAAACCCTCTCCTTTTGCCTGGTAAAAATTAGAGTGGTTGTTGAAGTGAAATCTCACAAAAAAATTAGTCACTGGTTGCCCTGTTATATATTTTCAGTTGTACCCAGTTCCAGAGATTTTCAAGAATAGAATGCTCTGCCTCAGCCGGTCTAAGAAAGAAATACGTACTAGAGTGCTTCAGACAAGAAAATATGTATACCAACTACAAAGTTCCATGAGGTATAACATATAAGCTGTAATTAATCAAAAATAGAAATTAAAAACGCAACAAAGGGATGAAACAAACGATAGAGAAGAAACTTGTCAATTCTTTAATCGAACATGTAAGTTGGTACAGAAGAAGATCTCCACAGAACTTTTGTCATGCTTCAGTCTGCTGTAGTTATATCTCATTCGTATATAGAAAATATACAATGGAAATTGACTATTCTCAAAATGCTTGCTACAACAACTTGGGCGCTGAAATCATCCAGCAAAAAGGGTAATGAAATGCATCCATCCAACAGAACCAAACGATACTCATCCTTTTGATCTGAAGAAGGCAACAGTTTAATTGTACCTCACGAAATGAGAATTGCTTCATGCTTGCAACTGATTGGATAAAATTTGACTTCCACTAATTGTGCAAGATTCTTGCTTTCCAAGTTAAAGCTCATCTTTTGTTGGAGGCATAAGGTAACACTCTTCATCCCAATAATAAGGGAACTTCAATTTGGCTGCGGTATGCGGCATATGCCAGTCATCATATATAAACCTGAAAGCATGAACACAGAACATAATTATCATTTCCTAACCATAAAAGCAAGTATATGAGGGGATACATCTACTTATGTATATTAATCTACTAAGTCTCGCAATAATCAGATATATGAAAGTATGACAGAAAGAATCCATCAATTGCTTCAAATAAAGAACTCAATCCATCAAAAACATCTATCCTATTCTCCACTACAAGGTCCAACAGAAAAAGATCGATTTGCAAAAGATAATTGGCACCTAGCATTCCCCTTGTTCTCCCTGTCCTTCTAATATATGTTTCTCTTCATCCATCTAGTCTCCACTATCCACAAAACCCGGCAACTTGAAGTTTTCTATTTGGAAAGAATCACACTTTTGGCTCCTCTAGTCTCTTAAACATCCATTTTCCCAAAATATGTCATCTTTTCTTCTCAATTTGATCCTTGCACTAGCTTCATCATCGACTAAACCATCATGTTTCCATATGACCTAAAGAAGAATATAGTTCATCACTAACACACAGCTTACTCCAGCTACAACATCTCTTGAAATTATCTTTGAAGTAAAATTTCTGCAAAACGCTTTTTGGTTCATCGAATAAATGACCTTTCTTTCTGAGTAGTTTATCTCAGAAATTTCAAAATTCATTTCTGTGGCACTTTAACCAGCAACAAGAACATATGACCATCATATATATATATATATATATATATGAAAATTGAAACTTGTTTCCCTCCAAAGTAACTTCCATAAATCAGATATTTACTTGAGACACTAGTATTACAGATCTAACATGAATAACGTAAATTGATGAGATGCAAGGCAACTAGAAATGATTGAAGTCCAGAGCATACTTACACTTTAACTGGAGACGAGAGACAACAACCAAGAACTGTAAATCCTCCTCTTTGTTTGTGTTCCATATCTGTAACAAAAAAATGAACAAAAAGTTTTCTGCATATAACAGGATACTTTAGCATGAATGCTGCAAACTCATAATTAGTCAATCTATACCTTACTAGCAACAACAATTCCACAAGTCATGGAGAACAGGAAGGACAAAAAAAGGATTGTAAACTGAGATTAAAAATAGAAAAAGAAAAAAAAAACAATAAACTTTAAACATAGTCAATTTCATTAGTGTGGGATGGGGCTTCATCCTGCAACAGTTAATAAACTTTTCTTGTGACCTTTCCCTTCCATTCACTCAGATTTCTTCCTTTCATGCTGTGAAACCCCCTCCTCCACTCGATAAGGGAAAAAAACAATGGCAAGAATGATGTTCAATTTTCTTTCTATGCAGCTATTGCCGAATTGAATACAGATATATTTGCAAAAGTTCTGCATCAAACTAAGAAAAGCAAAAGTCAAAACAATTCACCTGATGAGCATCATTAACAGGGATATGAAACGTGCTATTAGAGAAGATAGGAAGCTCTTGTGGGTTGCCGGGTATTTGGGGTGTGAATTAGAAGCAAGATAAAGAGTCCCACTCCTTTCAGTACCACGAATACTTCCTCGCATGAATGCCTATGAATTGGAGTGTGAGATCCAGGAGAAAATGTTTGCAGCCATACCTCAACCTATTGAAGAGCATTCATAGAATTTAGGGCTAAGAGACGCAAGAAAGCTACCTCCTAATTTTCAATTTACCAGTTTAACACCAGAGAATTGGTATTGGATTAACTTACCTCTTTCATCCATGTAAAAGCGAACCGGCTATGGTCATGTGAGACAAACCGGGTCTACCATAACTATCCTGCGTAAGCTCACTGATATTCCTCACCAGTGGAAGCCCTAGATTATAATTGAGAAGCTTTCTTCATATTGATTTCTTCCATACTGTACTAAAATCACCACACTATACTAACAAAATCACTTCTTTTAACCACAAAAAAAAAAAAAAATCACTTCGAAAGCAAAAACACATAAAAGGAGGAACAGAGAATGAATCTTGCAAAGCGAAAATGATATCAGTTATACTCATTGATTGGGGAAGAGAAGAAATGCAAAAATTGCCTTCGGTCGAAGAGCAGGGATAGCCGTCGCATTGGAGCTAAGATGGAGGGCTGTAACTAAAAGCGCCAACAGCACTCGCCGCCGGGACATATTCTCGGCCAGGACTGCACAGACCGCTCAGGTCTACGATTATGAAAGATATGGAAAATCTAAACGGGTATTGTGTCACGTGACATCATGTGATACTGAAATCGGGGCTCAAAACAATTTTGGAATTGGCTCCTTCAAGGATTAGCCCTTTTAGTTTGTACGTGGCCCACGTTACCATTCCAAGGATCCGTTTGGAACCTGAATTTTTTGAAAATTTATCTAAAATTTTACTGTAGATCACTGTAGAAGTAGTAGAAAAAACTTACTGTATAAGTTTTTTAAAAACTTTACTGTAGCAATTTTTTAAAAATTTTAGGGTAGCAATTTTTTTACAAAATTTTTTATAACTTAAAAAAAATTTAGGGAAAAATTCCCTCCCTAAATTTTTTTTTCCTGTATCCAAAAATTGTGCTCTATATTACTGTATCAAAATTAGGATTACATTTTTGTCAACCCGAAAGCCAAGTTGCTTTTCATTGTTCGCATTCGAGGTATCAATGCTATGCATCCAAGGACTAAGAAGATTTTGCAGCTTCTGCGCCTGAGATAGATATTTAATGGTGTATTCCTAAAGGTTAACAAGGCAACGCTGAATATGCTACACCGAGTTGAGCCTTATGTTGCTTATGGATACCCCAACTTGAAGAGTGTTAAGGAATTGATTTACAAGAGAGGCTATGGCAAGGTAAACAAGCAGAGAATTGCATTGACTGACAACTCAATCATTGAACAGGCTTTGGGAAAACATGGTATTATCTGCATTGAAGACCTTGCCCATGAGATCCTGACAGTTGGACCTCACTTTAAGGAGGCAAACAATTTTCTCTGGCCATTCAAACTTAAGGCGCCTCTTAGTGGCTTGAAGAAGAAGAGAAATCACTATGTTGAATGAGGCGATGCTGGCAACCGTGAAGACTATATCAATGAACTTATCAGGAGAATGAACTAGATTGATTGCTACAATAAATGAATCATTGTTACAGTTTTGGAGGTCCTTTCCGATGGATTTTTAAGTTTATCCATAACCCCTTTCTAGACGTGATTTAGGATCATATTTAGATCAATTTTTTATTTTCATCTTTTAATTGTCACCTTAAAGCAACTTTGCTAGACCTTAGATTTTGTGAGAATTTAAGGTGATTTTGTTCTAAAAATAAAAATAAAAAAGTTACACATGGAGATTTTCTTATATTTCACAGTAATATAAAAGCTCACACCTGTATGCAAACAATTTGTTATAACAAAATAATTTGGACAAGTTGTAAAAAATTACATTCACTCAAGTGGAAAGGAATCCGTTAACCCAACCTTGACAAGAAGGCTTAAATTTTTACAGTACCAAATATCCATCCCAAATATTAAAAAAGAGTCATATTATACAACTGAAAATAGTTCGAGCTACGTGGAAATCAAGCGTGGCAACCATATACTACTCATTTCGGTGAAGGTACATGTGATCAGCCATTACATTTCATAATTCTTTCCAATCATGGAGTGCTTCTGGAGTGACATGAAATTGTGGCATTTGAGCTCCTTCGGTATCTGCGCCATCCATATTTGCTTCATCCTTCAAGTAGATGTCATATGGCTGCATCTCCCTAATGAAATTGTGCAGTACACAGCACACCACTACAATGTTCCTCTGTGCCTCAATAGGATAGTTTTTCATTGGACCATCCAAAATTTTGAATCTCATTTTCCATACCCCAAACGTCCTCTCTATTATATTCTGAACCGAAGAATGGCGGCGATTAAATAATCTTTTTTGTGCAGTTGTGATCTCCCTCCTAGACCACTCTTAAAAGGGGCCATGAATCCTGGCATGTGTCTATACGCTGCATCAACCATGTAATATTTTTCAGCCGGTGGTACAGGAAATGCTGCATCCGGATTGGATATAGCATCCAATAAGACACAGCTATCATGGGCACTTCCTTCCCGGCCAGCTCTGACATATACGAACCTCATATCATGGTCACATGCAGCTAAAACATTCTATGAAAGCGTGTCTTTTCTGTTATGAAAGGCATCATGTTCCTCTCTTGGCACGCTTGCCGAGACATGTGTTCCATCAATAGCCCCAATACAATCCTACATATTGAATTTGAATGCAAATTAGTCATAAATTTAACTTATGAGTTTTAAGATGCGGCCAGGTACCTTAAACCATGGATAAAATCATCTATTATTCCGAATCCGAGAATGAGTAGTATCTGTGTTTCTATGTCGGAGTACAATAGGTGCTAATTGGACTAAGGCATGGCATAGGCGGCATACGTGTCGATGAATTGTCTCAGTGGAATGCTGGAATTGTTCACCTAGCACTTTTTGTGTCAAATCATGGCTCACACCATATAAGGCAATTGCTACGCTTTCCTCTAAAGTCACTTTATCACAGGGGCCCTCAGTAATGTATCCACCTTCTCGCAATATCCGATATAGTTGAATAAATGTGGGCACATTCATGCGCATGTTGTTAAGCATCCTAATGCACTTTCCCCTAATAGGTCCTTAACCCAACCCTGACCAGTCATAGCACTCGTGTGGACTAGCTGTCTTGTCCTTGGAACCTGATAGGTTTGAAAGTGCCACTGTAGAATCAACACAGCAGTTGCGGCTCTTCTTGCATCCTCTGGGTCATCTAAATTTACTCCAAAATTGGGCAGAGTGCTAGCCATTTATCCTCTGTATGGACAAAACACCTGCATGGGAAAATAAAGTACAGGATAAGGCCCAAATGCCTCAAAAGCTAGGAATATGTGAACTAGTCAAGCAACTCTTATATTAAAGTAGAAATCCTATTTATTATTAATTCTCTCAAAAAGTGCATATTCGAAATGCCGAAAGTTTATCAAATCATCTTGAAATGATCCAAACTATGAAATAAGACAACCCCAGTGCAAGTTCGTTTCCCAACAGGGAAAACTAGCATCCTTCAATCACAAATACAAATATTTTACATTAAAACATGCAACTTATAGCCTTCCAACTGGAGATGAACCTCTAGGCACATGCAGGTCTCAATCATCTAGTTCGCCCCCCAATACTCAGTGCATATAACCGTTTCCTAGCATCACTCTTTTGACTCAGAAACATCCTCTGATGGTCCGTGGAATCAGCCAACTTCACAGCTGCTGTAATGAATACTTTATCCGGCAAGCTTTCTATTTTGTTTAAGGCTGCATCTGCCTTTATCACCGAGAAAGAGTCATCATCCACGTAATTTGGAGGAGGAGGAGGAGCTGGAGTAGCAGCAGGTGGGGGTGGTAGGGCATCTACGCTCTGGGAGGTGCTCCGATCGGAAGCAAACGTTGCATCCATCCAAGATATGGCATTATTGTAGGAGGTTCGACTTAGACCAGGCGGAGGTCGCCGTCCCGGCGAATGAAGATTCCAGAGTCTTCCCTTTCCCTTTGCCTTTGCTCTTTGAATGTTTGGCATCCGATTTCCTAGTTGGAGGCATAGGAGGGATCATTTCATCAATCAGGTCCACGTGTCTCCATGCCTGGCCACCCATATTGTGATATGCTTGACTTTGCCTCGCCCTTATCTCATCATTAATGTCAACTGGTGGCTGGTTTTGAATCCCTTGCATATTGCCTTTGGTATCCATTTTGTCAAACACCTCCGATAACATGTAGAAGACACGGCAATCTTTGTTGTGGAAAGTCTCAAAAGATGGGTTCTTCTACACATTTAACACCAAAAATTAGCCATTAGAGGATGTTAAAAAACAGCTTTTTACACTTTATAAGCTTATGATGAAATACAAAAAATTAATTTTCTACCTTAATCATAACTTGCCATTTGCTTTCGTCCATAGTTACAGTCTAAAGGGGGATCCCATCCGGCCCCAGTCACCCTCAACCGCATGTGATTGTATTCTTGTGTCAGATGCCTTAATGCATAATACTTCGCCTTGATTTGATTTGGATCAAAGTGGCATCCTTTTTTGACAAATTCATCAACAATTGCCGGGAAGACCTCGCTCTTTAAGTTGCCCTTGTTCATTCTATTATCCCATTTAATTTCAACCAAGTATTCTGCAAATTCAAGCTCTCGCTCTATTGGAAATTGGGCACGACCTTGCCTTGATGAACCAACCTTGCCAGCCATTGATTTTTTACACTTTATGTACGACAAATAGATTAGCGAAAGTTGGCAATTAAGGATGCTAAACAGAAATTGAAAGGCATCTATAGCATCCAATGCAAGTAGTTTATGTATAGCCCCAATGGAAGTAAACACTAATTTATCTATAGCCCCAATGCAAGTAAACAAAAATCTTATACAGATATTTATCTATGGATTCTCTTATTGCATATATAGCAATAGAAGTATTAACACAGGTGAATCACGTCTAAATAATAGCAAAGAACAAATAGGATAGCCAATCCCAATACAGGACACACAAAATAGTTAACTCTTATATTATAGACGGGGTTGGAAAAAGAGACTGGTCAGATAATACCTTGAAGTAATTGGTGATAGAAAGCTGTAAGTCGTTCTCTCCACACTCGGACCAAATAGTGGTAACAGGATCAGGAAGTAAGAGTTTTCCGACTGTTAGCGAAAGTAAACATTAGCCAAGCCATTTCTTAACAATCTGATATGCAAGTTGAAAAAAAACCCCAAAACAAACCTCTAGAAACGGATCTAGTGCACGACGGCATAAACCTGTGGACAGAAGAATGTATGCCTATGATAAGTAATGTTGGAAATAAGCACCAAATTACC